ACATATGTAAACATGATTGAATCATGCTTTAGACATCTGGAATTTACTTGGCAGCATGCTCCCTCTCCATTAACAGACTTCCACAAGTTTAGCTTTGCAGGAGCTCGTCAGAAGCTCTTCATAAGCTCATCAAGGCTCTGAAGAGCTCGGAAGAGCTCTCTTCAGCGCTCTTGAGAACACAGCCCAGGAGTGCACAGATCACAGAGCGGTTACGAGCGCTCTTGAAGACGTCCGAAGAGTGCTCTGACTAAGTCGCAAGAACACTCTTAAAAAGTCTAGGAACGCTTTGGAACAACAATCTTAACAGCTTCTAAGCTCGGATCTCGGCCGGGATTTGGTCTAATGGCCGGGATTGGATCCAAAATGTCGGGATTCAGTTTTGCACGCCGGGATTGGTTCCCTTTCCCTCACAGGCTTTCCCCCGCACCACAAGCCCCCCTCCTCCTACAGACCCCCCCTAGACACCCTCCTCCTACCCCCCCCCAGGCCTACCGACCCCCCCTCCTACAGACCCCCCCTTCCTACAGACCCCCCCCCTCTCCTACAGACCCCGCCCCCTCCTACAACCCGCCCCATTCTACAGATCCCCCCCCCTCCTGCAGGACTTACCTCGTCCCGCAGAGCCCCCCCCTCCTACAGACCCCCCCTCCTAGAAACCCCACGCTCCTACAGACCACCCCTTCCCACAGACCCCCGCCCTCCTACAGACCCCACCGCCCCTCCGACAGGTCGGGTCATGCTCGTGAATGTCACGGTCTTCATGTTCATGAGTGTGGTCACGCGGGATTTCACGGAGGATGAACACGACGGACGTTGTTGGTGGACGTCCGCCCTTGCCCCCCCCCCCGGTGAGGACCATCGTAGGCCCTACCAGTGAGGACCACCATGAGGCCTCACACCCCTCGCAGTTTCCATCGTTGGAACTGCGGGGGTCGAACCAAATCCCCACAAACCTGGCATCGTACGTGCAATGCCAGGGGCGGCGGCCCGTCATCCCATCCTGCCATCATAACGGGATGCGGAGCCCATGAACACGGGACGGGGTGGGCACGACCCGGCACCATAGCCGGCTCAAAATCAAAAGAGGCATCATAGCCTCATCAATCGAGATTGATCCACCCACGGATCCACTGCCATTGACTTTCATTGAATTAATTCCATGCGTAGCGTGTTCTCTCCTAGTGGACCGTGAACGGGACACATTCCCCTGCCGGTCGTCGAGTGCCGCCATCATAGGCAGCCAGAGGGACCACCATCGGCACCTCGCACCAAAGCCGGGGCCATCAGCAAGGCTCGTTTTGGGAAGAAGGACCATCATAGGCCTTCGCGTTCAATTTGCTCGTTGAACTCAATTTTCTCATCGTCGCCGTCGTCCTCCTCCTCCTTTTCCCCCTCCTCCTGGTCTCCACCCCTTCGGAACCGCGATACAAGCAGTGCGGGCAACACCTCGGCCTCGATCGGGTCGTGCTCGTGAATTTCACGGTTTCCGTGATCATGGGTGTGTTCACAGTGCGTTTCAGGGAGTCCGCAATCGTAGGTCGGGTCGTGCTCGTGAATGTCGCGGTCTTGAGTGTGGTCACTGGGCATTTCACGGAGGATGAGCACGACGGACGTTGTTGGTGGACGTCTGCCCTTGCCTTTCCCCCCCCCCCGGCGAGGACCATTGTAGGCCCTACCAGTGAGGACCACCATGAGGCCTCACACCCCTCGCAGTTTCCATCGTTGGAACTGCGGGGTCGAACCAAATCCCCACAAACCTGGCATCGTACGTGAAGTGCCAGGGGCGGCGGCCCGTCATCCCATCCTGCCATCATAACGGGATGCGGAGCCCATGAAGACGGGACGGGGTGGGCACGACCGGGCATCATAGCCGGCTCAAAATCAAAAAAAGGCATCATAGTTGCATCTATCTAGATTGATCCACTCATTGACTTACTGCCATTGATTCTCATTGAATTCATTCAATGCGTAGCATGCTCTCCCCTAGTGGACCGTGAACGGGACTCAGTCCCCTGCCAGTCGTCGAGTGCCGCCATCATAGGCAGCCAGAGGGACCACCATCGGCACCTCGCACCCAATGCGGGGCCATCAGCGAGGCTCGTTTTGGGCAGAAGGACCATCATAGGCCTTCGCGCTCAATTTGCTCATTGAACTCAGCTTTCTCATCGTCGCCGTCGTCCTCCTCTTCCTTTTCCTCCTCCTCCTGGTCTCCACCCCTTCGGAACCGCGATACAAACAGTGCGGGCAACACCTCGGCCTCGATCGGGTCGTGCTCGTGAATTTCACGGTTTCCGTGATCATGGGTGTGTTCACAGTGCGTTTCAGGGAGTCCGCAATCGTAGGTCGGGTCGTGCTCGTGAATGTCGCGGTCTTCTTGTTCACGAGTGTGGTCACAGGGCATTTCACGGAGTCCGCAATCATAGGTCGGTCGTGCTCGTGTGTTTCACGGTCTTCGTGATCATGAGCGCGATCACAGTGCATTTCACGAAGTCCGCAACCATAGGTCGGGTCGTGTTTGTGAATCTCACGGTTTTCGTGGTCATGAGCGTGGTCACGGTGCGTTTCACGGAATCCGCAATCATAGGTCGGGTCGTGCTCGTGAATGTCACGGTCTTCTTGTTCATGAATGTGGACACGGTGCATTTCACGGAGGATGAGCACGACGGACTTTGTTGGTGGACGTCCGCCTTTGCCTTTTCCCCCTCCCAGTGAGGACCATCGTAGGCCCTACCAGTGAGGACCACCATGAGACCTCACACCCCTCGCAGTTGCCAGCATTGGGACTGAGGGGGTCGAACCAAATGCCCACAAACCTGGCATCGTACGTGAAGTGCCAGGGGCGGCGGCCCGTCATCCCATCCTGCCATCATAAAAAGATGCGGAGCCCATGAAGACGGGACGGGGTGGGCACGACCGGGCATCATAGCCGGCTAAAAATCAAAAGAGGCATCATAGCCTCATCTATCTAGATTGATCCACTCATGGACCCACTGCCATTGATTCTCATTGAATTCATTCCATGCGTAGCATGCTCTCCCCTAGTGGACCGTGAACGGGACTCAGTCCCCTGCCGGTCGTCGAGTGCCGCCATCATAGGCAGCCAGAGGGGCCATCATCGGCACCTCGCACCCAATTCGGGGCGATCAGCAAGGCTCGTTTTGGGAAGAAGGACCATCATAGGCCTTCGCGCCCAATTTGTTCGTTGAACTGAACTTTCTCATCGTCGCCGTCGTCCTCCTCCTCCTCCTTATCCTCCTCCTCCTCCTCCTCCTGGTCTCCACCCCTTCGGAACCGCGATACAAACAGTGCGGGCAACACCTCGGCCTCGATCGGGTCGTGCTCGTGAATTTCACGGTTTCCGTGATCATGGGTGTGTTCACAGTGCGTTTCAGGGAGTCCGCAATCGTAGGTCGGGTCGTGCTCGTGAATATCGCGGTCTTCTTGTTCATGAATGTGGTCACAGGGCATTTCACGGAGTCCGCAATCATAGGTCGGGTCGTGCTCGTGTGTTTCACGGTCTTCGTGATCATGAGCGCGATCACAGTGCATTTCACGAAGTCCGCAATCATAGGTCGGGTCGTGTTTGTGAATCTCACGGTTTTCGTGGTCATGAGCGTGGTCACGGTGCGTTTCACGGAATCCGCAATCATAGGTCGGGTCGTGCTCGTGAATGTCACGGTCTTCTTGTTCATGAGTGTGGTCACAGTGCACTTCACGGAGGATGAGCACGACGGACTTTGTTGGTGGACATCCGCCCTTGCCTTTCCCCCACCGGCGAGGACCATCGTAGGCCCTACCAGTGAGGACCACAATGAGGCCTCACACCCCTCGCAGTTTCCATCATTGGAACTGCGGGGGTCGAATCAAATCCCCACAAACCTGGCATCGTACGTGCAGTGCCAGGGGCGGCGGCCCGTCTTCCCATCCTACCATCATAGGGGGATGCGAAGTCCCTGAAGACGGGACGGGGTGGGCACGACCGGGCATCATAGCCGGCTCAAAATCAAAAGAAGCATCATAGCCTCATCAATCTAGATTGATCCACTCACGGATCCACTGCAATTGATTCTCATTGAATTCATTCCATGCGTAGCATGCTCTCCCCCTTTCCTACAGACCCCCTCCTGCAAACCACCCTTCCTTCTACAGACCCCCCCTCCTACGGACACCCCGTTCTCCTACAGACCCCCCTCCTGCAGGCCCATCCCCTCCTACAAACCTCCCCCTTCTGCAGACCCCACCCCTCCTACAGACTCTCCCTCCCCTCCTGCCCCCGCCTTCCTACAGACCATCCCCGCTCCTACACCCTCCCCCTCCTACAAACCTCCCCCTCCTACAGACCCCCACCCTCCTACAGACCCCCCCCCCTCCTACAAACCATTCCCCTCCCACAGATTTCCCTACGGCCCCCCAGGGTAGCTCACAGACCACCTCTTCCCCTCTCTTACAGACCACCCCCCTTCCTACAGACCCTCCCTTCCTGCAGACCACCCTCCCCGGTGCCCTACAGACTACAGACCCCCCCCCTCCTACAGACCCTCCCCACTCCTACAGCTCCTCTCCTCCCCCTAAAACACACACCCGCCCTCCTAGAGAGCGCCCCTCCCCCTACAGACCCCCCCTTCTCCTATAGATCCCCCCCTACGGAGCCCCCCCCAATGCCCTACAGACCTTCGCCTCCTACAGAACCCCCCCCTCCTACAGACCCCATCCCCTGCAGACCCCCCATCCTGCAGACCCCCCCGTCCTACAGACCTCCCCCCCGGGTGCTCCACAGACCCCCCCCTCGTCTACAGACCCCCCCTCCTACGGACCTTCCCCCCCCTACAGATCCCCCCCTGGGTGACGTACAACTGTCTTGCGTATGCGTCTGCAGCAAGTCATGGTGATCTGGCATCGCCGATGCATCGGAGCAGACGGCGATGCACCCGCGACGCTGGATGCGGCGCGACCCTCCGACCTCTGGTAGGCCCAGACTTTTGTTGTCCGGAGTGGGTCGCGGTGGCCCCCCCTGCGGCGTGCCGCCTCCTCGGCGGGGGCCTCCTCGGCCGCGACCTCCTCCGCCTCCACGGCCACCTCCCCCTCCGCGGCCTCCCCCTCCGCGGCCTCCTCCTCCTCGGCGCCGGCTGCCTGGGGAGGGGAGGCGCGGCCGACGACGACGACGACGACGACGACGACGACGACGACGACGACGACGACGACGACGACGACGACGACGACGACGACGAGCGCGGCCGCGCGGTGAGGGGGGTGGCGGCGGGAAGCTTCGCGCGGGGGCAGACCCCCTCGCGCCAAGCTGCGGGGAGGGGGAGGACGAAGCCCCGCCGCCTTCCGAGAAGGCCTGCCCCCATCTCATTTTCCCTCCTGGGCTCGTCGCCGAGAGGAGGAGGAGGAGGAGGAGGAGGAGGAGGAGGAGGAGGAGGAGGAGGAGGAGGAGGCCCACGGCGAGGGGAGGAGGACGAAGGGGGAGGCCGAGCGGGGAGGAGGAGAAGAGAGGGTTGAGGGGAAGAGGAGGACGAAGAGGACGAAGAAGAGGGGGCCGAGGGAGGCAACGCCGGCACGGCTCTCGCGCGGATCAGCAAGAAGATCGGGCGCACGCCGGCATGGGTCGCGGATCCGTGCATCCGGCGCACGGGCGCCGGGTCCACGCGTCGGGAGAGGCACGCCCAGAAACACAACGGCCGGTGCCGCCTCGGTGTGGCGACGGGGCGCACCGATTCTGCATGGAAGAGGAGGAGGTCGCCGATCTGAGCCCCCGAATGCAGGCTGTCTGGCTCGAGAGGTCCCTGCTGCTGCTGCTGCTGCTGCTCAGTCCTCGGGCCGAACCGACGGGAGGAGGAGAAGGTGGAGGACGTAAAAGTGGTGGGGAAGCAGAACAGTGCCGATACCGCACTGCTCGGACCTCTCCTGCGATGCAGTCTGACCAGACTGTCGGGGAGAATCCGGCCGTTGCGACGATGGCTCTCCAAAACGAGCAGCGGCATCGGTACGTTATCCGTCCTCCTCCTCCGCCTCCGCCTCCGCCTCCTCCTCCTCCTCCTCCTCCTCCTCCTCCTCCTCCTCCTCTGAGGAGGAGGAGGAGGAGGAGGAGGAGGAGGAGGAGGAGGAGGCCCCTGCTGCTGCTGCTGCTGCTGCTGCTGCTCAGCTCTACTCCCCTGCGGCGGGCCGCGGGCCGCGCGCAGGGTGTGCCTCGGCTCGCGAAGACAAAAGGGCGGGTCGGGCCAGGCGGGTGGGAGGATCACGGATCAGGCGGCAGTGTCTGGAGCGCACTGGGGGGGGGGAGCGTTGCGTCAAAGGGGGGGGGGAGCGGGGGCCATGACGCCCGTCATGCCCCAAACAATAAAGAAACGGGCTCCAGATGGGAGGGCTGAGGAGATGAGAAGGACAAAGGGGAGGACGAGGATCGGCGGCGAGGCCACGGGGGAAATCATAGGCGCTGGGCCTTCTCAGGAGGCTCGGAAGGCCTGTGGAAGGCCTTCTCCGGAGACTGGAACGGTTTGCTTCTCAGGAGGCGCGAGGACTTCCGAGAAGCCCCGCCGCCTTCTGGGAAGGCCTGCCTCCATCTCATTTTCCCCCTGGGCTCGCCGCCGAGAGGACGGAGGAGGAGGCCCAAGGCGAGGGGAGAAGGACGAAGGGGGAGGACAAAGAAGAGGGGGGAGGAGAAGGGAGGGTTGAGGAAGAGGAGGACGAAGAGGACGAAAAGGAGGACGAGTGGGGAGGAGGAGTACGCAGCGCATCCTGAGCTCGGGCGCAGGTCGCAGGCAGCTCCTGGCCAGTGATTTCCTAAACTCGCGGGGCATGCCAAGCGGCTCCTATAGGCAACGCTTTCGAGGCCCACGTGCAGCTCCCCAGCGGCGCTGCCCAGGCTCGTGCGCAGGGTCGGGGTGCTCCCCGGAAGTTCGCACGTCACTCGCGCGTAGCTTTCTCGCAGCGCTTCCTCGGCTCGTTGCCCGATGGCTGCCGTTGCGACACAAGAGACGTAGAGAGAAGAGGCCGGGCGGAGGCCAGTTCGGCCTGGAGCTGAACGCTGGCCAGTCAGGGCTCGTCGCGGCGCTTCGCCAGACGCTCCAGCGCGGCCCGTAGGCGTTCCCAGTGCGCGCGCGGGGAGCGCAGTAGATCGTCTACGAAGCGCTTCCTAGCTTCGTGCGCATCGCATAAGCTTGCTTGGACTCCTAGCCAGCGCTATTCCCAACTAGCTCCTCGAGAGAGCTGAGAAGCTTTAGAGAAGAAGCTCGAATGCTGGGCTAGGCCAGCTTCCTCTGCACGGATGCTGGTCCCACAGGCACAGGGCCGCAGCACATTCCTGGAACTTGCAGCATCTCCTGCAAGCGCTTCCCCACTCGTTCCAGAAACGTAGGCCGCAAGCGTTTCTGCAGCTCCTGCGCAACGCCCACGCAGCGCTTCCAGGGCTTGCACGCAGGTCCGAGGCAGCTCCAATGCAGTGCTCCCAAGGCTCCTGGGAAGCGCCGAGGCAGCTCCCTAGGCAGCGCCTGCGAAGCTCTCGCTGAATTCCCAGGGAAGGCGTCCTGGGGACGTGGCAGCGCTCAGTCAGCTCCTGGGCAGAGCGTCTCCGACGCTCGTGCGCAGCGTGTGGACAGCTCCCATGGCGGCGCAACCCGGGCCCTCGGCGCCCTCCTCTGGCAGCGCTGCCGGTGCTCTGCGACCGGGCTTCTGCTGCGTCGCGCGTGCCACTTGCCGTCCGCACGTCCGCGAGCGCGGGGGCGCGCGAGCGCCCGCGCGCCCGCGCGCCGCGTGCCGCCACGCGTTGCTCTATCCAGGTCGTGGACCGCGCAGTTTCTTCGGCAGCCCACGGGCGCCTCCCGTGTCGTCCTGCGGGCCCCTGCAAAGCAGCGGTGACCAACGCTGGCCGACACTAATCGACGCCAGCCAAAGCCCATCGGCGCTAAATCTAAGCTTCATCGCAGATTACCAGACGCTAGCGCACGCTGGTGCACTCTAGGCTCCCCGCCCGACCCTAAATCGCCGTTGGGCCTATCAATTCTCTGTGGAGGACCTGGACCGCCCCGACAAGATTCTGTGTTGGGGGTCTGGGACCTTTGGGTCTTTGGGCTGGATTGGGGTGGTTTGGTGACTTGTGATCAACAGATCCACACTCAGAAACCTCTACAATTACACAATATGAATACTACTCTCCTCCATCCCCTGATGGCGTGCCGAAGATAGCGGGGATCTACGCCATGGTAAGGGATGGGAGGGAGGGGTAGGATGTCAGATATGACGCGAACGCACCTAGCTTGACCCTCCTCTCCCTCCCTCTCCTACCACAGGCTTCGACTGCAGGCACGAGGACGAAGGCCTGAACAGCCTGTCAGACCTCGGCGCGGGCGGGGGTGGGGGTGCTCGCGCGCGCGTGCCAGGCTGGCCTCGTCGTCTACTGCGACGGCCTCCTCCACCACGACCTCGCGCGGTTCGGCCGTGGGGAGGATCGTAAGCGACAGAAGGCTGAGGAGGAGGAGGAGGAGGACGCAACTCGAACCGCTGGGGAGGTCTGAAGCTCGACGGTCACGGCTTGCATTCACTGACTCATTCCAAAACACATCGCCCCTGCGACGGCACACGGCTGTGAACAATATCCAACTGTTCAATACGGGGCCTCTGCAGAGGGGAGGGGTCCCATCGGGCCCCGAGGCAAGCCAGTGTAGGGAGAGCTCTCTTGAAGAAGAGGAGGAGGCTGAGAAGGCGGAGGGGGAAGTGGAGCGGCAGCAACAAGAAAATGTCTGGAGAAAGAGGAACAAATTGGGAGATCGGGGGGACCGGGGAACGGAACAGCAACAACATAACAAAACGTAAGACCCCAACAGTATGGTGTTGCGGATCCACAGGAAGGGGAAGATCACGCGACCTCCACCATGCTCATTTTCCTGTTGCAACTTTCCCTCCTCCGCCTCCTGCCTACCACACCATCCCTCATGCCCCTCCTCCGTCATGCCCTTCCCGTCCTCGCAACAAGCAAGCGTCTTACCAGACGTCCAGGGTGGACCCAGTCGTGGCGATGAAAAACGTCCTAGAGGCCAACACAAACCAAACACAACAAGCACACTTGACCACCGTGGACCCAAACAGCGCGCTCCTGGCACGTAGTTGTGCAATACACGTCGTGCAACGTATGCGATGCAGTTTGCCTGGTGCATTATATGTTGTGCAAGCTATGTTGGGTAACGTTTTGTGGGATACGTATGTATGTATGTATGTATATATATATGTATCTATACATATACATGCATACGATGCGCAATGAGTGCGAGCCAGCCGACGTTGCGTACTAGGCGGTGCAACCGATGGTGCGCAACGCATGCGGTGCAAATCTATGTGGTGCAAGTTGCGTTGTGCATTTTGCGCGATGCAAAATCTGCGGTGCCATATTTTTTGTGCAGAAGATGTTGTTCACTCGATGGCGTGCACGCTATGTTGTACTAGCAGTAGTGCAATTTACGTGGTGTGCAATATTTGCGATGCGAGCGACGTGATGCAACCTATATTGTGGAACCTGCGTGGTGCAATGTATGTGATGCAACATGTGTTGTGCTATCGATGCCGTGCGACATATACGTATAAACAGATGCGTTGTGCGGTCTACGTGGTGCAACCACCAGCGTTCGCAATGAATTGTCAGCTCCACTGCTCGCGCGGACCCCCCACCCGCCCACCCGCAACTTGGTTTGCAAAACCAATGCGGCGGCGATTGCGTTGAGTGCTTGGTGTTGGCTGACGGATCTCTGCAGCCGCGCTTGCCCGCGCTTGCTCGCGCGCGCGGCGGCACGCCAGGTTGGCGCGACCAACACGGCCGAGGTGGCGCTGACCGCTGGGCTTTTCCCAGCGGGCACCTCAGTGCGAGTCGGCGGCTTGGGCGGGCGCGGTACCATGGCAACGTCGACAGAAGATCACACGAGGATGATAATAGCGATGCTGCTGACGATAGTGAAGACGACGACGACGACGGCACGGCCAGCGATGGCGCCGACGTTGATCACGCCAACGATGGTGACGGCGTCCTCGAGGTGGCGATGCTGATTGTGGAAGAACTTCGACATGCGCGCGCGGCTGACGCGCGAGCTTCTATGCGACACGGATCGTGCCCCCCCCAGCGCGCGCGCAAAGGCATTCGAATGATTTCGACATCCGGCGCGAGTGGCCCGCTTGGCCGAATGGAATGGGCAAACAACAACTCCTCAAGAATTCGCAGGAGCGCGAGCGCAAACATGTTTGAACACTTGTTGCAGAACCACGTGTGTTCTGTGTGTTCTCGGGGCAGTCGATTCTGAAGCCCCTGCGAAACCTAAGGTTTTGAAAGACTTCGCCACGCGCACGACGGCGCGCGCGCGCGCGTGCACTTCGCCCCTTTCGTTGCAAGGGATCCTCGCGACAGCGCGCGCACGATGGCGCTCGAAAGATTTCGACACGCGCGCGCGAGAAGCCCGTTTGGTAGCATGCTATGAAAAAAAAGGCTGAACACAACTATTGTTTTCTTAAGCATTCGCAAGAACGCGAGCGCAAGCTTTCTTTAAAAACTCGTTTTTCGGAACCATGTGTTTGTAGATTTGCTCGGGGCCCTCCATTTTGAAACCAATGCGAAATATAACTCTCTTCCAACAAGTCCTCCTCTTCCTCCCCCTTTTATCCGTCTACTCATCATCCGAGAACCAGCACCATCAGCAACAACAACAGCATCACCAGCAACAGCAACAGCAGCAGCAGTACTAGCAGGAGCAAGATCACCAGCAATAACACTTGCAACCTTCGCCACAAAAGATCTCCCAATTCACCGTTGTTGCCCGCTCCGGTTCACTATGTGAATCTCTTATTCCCTTCTTCCGTCAATTTTCCTGGGCATCGTTTCTGGATGGGCTGGTGGGGATACGCGACGAGTCCAGAATTCTCTTCCAACAAATGTTCCTGTTTGCACGCGAGACGACGCGCGCGCACTTCGTCCCGTTGTTCGCTGGGAACTTTTGAAATCAAACTACCTTTATAAACAAAGACTCGCCCATAGATTTTGCATGGGCGGAAGGGGCAGGAGCCGGGTTGGGGCGGCGCGCATTCGTATTCAGGACGGGCGACGGAGCGGAACCACGCGCAACTTAATGAGAAAAAGTGAACGGTCAAGTCGGGGGGGAGATCTTATTAATTTTTCGAAGCAGAAAACCATGCCCCCTCGCGCTCCCGGCGAATCACTTCTCCTCTCGCTGGCGCTGAGCAGGACGTTCAGATGCAGATGGCGGTTGCTCTTTAAAACGAGCGGGCGGCGACTGCGCCTGCAGCGGCAGCCCCCGGACAGTCCGAGAGCTGCCTGCGCCGTCGCAGCCGGCGGCCCAACGGAGTCCCGAGACAGCGCCGCCCGCCCCGCCGAGGCTGCCCGCGAACCCCCGCGGGCGCGGCGGGCCGCCGCCGCGCGCAACGACCGCGACGTCGCAAGCGCGGCGTCGATCGCGCATCGCACGAAACACTGGTCTCCTTTTTTTTTCGCGCCCCATGCTCCCCCGCGCCCGCGGCGCCCCATTCCTCCTCTCGCGGGCGCCGCGCGCGGGGGGAATTCATGGGCAGACGGCGGGCGGCCCATGACAGGGGGGGGGGGCGACTGCGCCGGCAGCGGCAGCCCTCGGACAGACCGAGGGCCGCCCGCGCGACAGCTGTCGGCGGCCAAACGGAGCCGCGAGAAGGTGCCATCCGCCCTTCCGAGGCTGCGCGCGGGCCCCCGCAGGAGCAGTTGGCCGCCGCGGCGCGAAGCGACAGCAACCTGCTGCGCCCCGGGGAAGCTCCTAACCGGCCCCACCCTGGCGAAGCCGCAATAGCTCCGAGTGCCGTGGCCGGAGGGCGACGGCCAGATGGCGGAGGGAAGCCTCGGCGCGCGGCGGGGGGGCCAGCTGGCTCGAGGCAGCCGCGCGGTCTCGAGGAGAAGTCCTACTAGTCTCTGCGCAATGCCGCCGGCCCTTGAAGCCCCTCGAGGTTTTTGTTGACTTCTTGAGCTCGTGCGCCGCGCCGCCTCGGCGCTATGAATGCTGGCGTAAACCGCGGTTCGGGTGCAACTCCTGACGCGGCATCGCCAGCTGGCGCCAGCAGACCCCCCCGCCGACGGTCGAAAAGGCTTGCTTCGGCGCTACCCTTCGATGCCCAAGGGCATCTAAAAGGACGGCCCAAGGGCCATCCAGGGACGCGGTCTCCGCGGCCCCCTGGTAGCGAGGACCAGCGTCCTCATCTCCAGGTTGGTTCGCAAACCGACGTCGGGCTCGGGACGCGCCGCGAAGACCACGGCCTGGAGGCACATCAGGGCGATTTCGGGAAAGGGCTGCGCCCCGCCCGCGACGCTGATGAACCGACCCGCGAAGTAGAGCGGCATCTTCTCGAGCGTTGTCTGCGCCAGCGTGCTGGGGCATCTGGCCGCGAACTGGCCGACCGCTACGTGGCGCCTGCGGTCTGCCGCGGCGTCCTCGTGCCCCGAAGCCGCCCGCTCGAAGACCTCGTCGATGTCGACGCCTTCGAGCACCCAGGCCGACGCGGGAGCGTCGCCGCAGCGATGAACGCGCTCCACGACCAGGCACGGAGGCGCCGGGACAACTCCCGCGCTGCCACGGCCAGGCTGGGCTCGCGCGCCAGCTTCGCCGCGCTGCGCGCCCAGGCGCGTTCGGAGGTCCTCGTGCCTGGCCGGCCCCGGGGCCGCTGGACCTCCCAGAACGGCCGCGCCACTGGCCGTCGGCCCTGCGTCTGCAAGAGCTGCCGCCGCCTCCAGCCCCAGGCGCCCGGGCCAACTCGTTGAGGCCGTCGTCGGCTCCGCCTGCGCGAAGGCTTGCCGCCTCTCGCGCCGCTGGCGGCCTCTCGGCAGGCGGCAGCGGTGGGAATCTAGAAAGCATCGCCGCGCCCGCACGCGGGGCCGCTGTTGTGCGTCCGCCACGGCGGACTTGGCCAGCTCCCGCCGGTGGCGAGAAAACCACAACGTGCTGCCCAAGCTCGCCGCGGTGGCCGCGCGCCAGGCAGTGGCGTGGCAGGCATCCTCGTCCTCCGGCAACGCCTCGCAGCCCTGCGCGACGCAGAAGTGGAGCTCGGCCGGCTCGGAGGCGCCGTGTCTGCCACGAGTCTCCTCGGCCCACTGCGCGAAGTGCGCGCCCGAGAACGCGGTCAGCTCGGCCAGGATCACCAGCCCGGCAACAGCCGCGCTGAACTGCGGCCCAAAACTTACACCAAGGCCGTAGCCCTGGGCCGCGCCCTAGTAATCGTGGACCTCGAGAGCTCCACGACATCCCCGGGGAGCAGCGCGGCCGCCAGGACAATCGTCTCGCGCCCACTCAGTCCCATCGGCGGCAAACACGATGGAAATGCGGAATGAAAAAGAAGCCGCGCGGCCCTCGGGGCAACAAAAGCCGTCACAGCTGCAGCGTCGATCGCACATCGCACTAAATACCGGTCCCCGCTTTTCTTTGCAATCTACGATATGTTGTGCAATCCACGCTGTGAAGTCTACGTGGTGCACTCGATGTGGTGCAATACAAATTGAACAATCAATGTTGTGCAATCTATGTTATCCAATCTTTACTGTGCACTGTATCTGAGGCAATCTATGTGGTGCGAGTATATGCGGCGACGAGGCGGCGACGGACCGGCGACGCCGGCTACATAGCCGCCAGAACGGCACACCGGCCCAGACGACGGGCAGCGACGAGGCGGCGACGGACCGGCGACGGCGGCTACATAGCCGCCAACACCGACACACCAGCAAAAAACGACGGGCGGCGACGGGGCGGCGACGGCGGCTACATAGGCGCCAGACCGACGCACCAGCCAAATTCGTTAGAAAACAATTGAGAATCACTAAATGAGTACAAGCAAGCACTACATGGGGAACGGCCGTCGATGCTTGTCCATCCTCTGCGTTCGTGAATAAACATGGGGTGTCCCGACAAAGGTGTCAACCTCGCCTCGTCGGCGTACTCCGCCACGTGCTGGAACACTTTCGGCGCGCGGTGGAACGAAATTGAGGCACATCCCCTGGAACCAACGCGAGCACCGAACTACAGTAAACTGATAAGCGCAGAAGCTCTAGCGGATAAGGAACAGGTTCAGCACCCGGGTGCACTCAAAGCCCCGATTAGCATCCAGAAGCCCGCCAGCCCCACACCGGCAGCTTCCCCTTAAGACGACGCTGTTGGCCGCCTGCCCATGTAGACACCGAACAAAATGAACGTGTGAATTCAGCATGCACGAGATCTTCGTGACGCCTTCCATCAGCTCGAAGACGCGGAGCCCCGCGCCTCTGGCCCTGCCGCTCCTGGAAGCAAGAACGGCTTCTTCGTGATCTCCTTGAAGGTCTGCATGTATGCAGCCTGCTGCTCTTTCGTCAGCGTCGTGGCGCTGAGCCGGACGGCCCACACACCCTCCTGATGATTCCACTCGGGCAAGCCAGCATTGAGCTGCCCCGCACCGTCGGCCATCCACTGCGGCAGGGCTGGGAACCTCTGCCGCGCCGGCTTCTTCCTCAGAGCCTGGGCCTCCACCAGGGCCTGCACATTCTGCTCGATGGACTCCTCGATGCGCATGCCGCGGTCCTCGCCGCCCGGCTCCATCTCCTGATCGCTGTCCGCCGCAAACGTCGGCAACCAAGAGACGTCATCGTCCTCCCCCGCCTCCCCCATGGTCGGCCCGGCCGCCGCCAGCACCTCGCCGCCCCCACTGCGCGGCGCCGGCAGCTCCAGCCTCCTCCTCTTGTTGTCCTCATTGTCTGAGTCGTCCGCCTGGCGCACCGCCAGGGCCTTCTTCTTGAGCCTCTTCCGCTGCCGCCGGGATCCGGCCGATCCGGCGGCAGCGGGATCAGGGGCGCCCTGCGCTGGACCATCGCCACGCCGCGTCGCCGCCATGACCGAGGTGGCCACGGCAGCCGCGGCGGCTGCGACTGTCCTGCGCGGGGCGCCTGCCTGTACAGCAGCGCGGACCGCCGCCTCCACGAGAGAAGCAGCCATCGCGGCGCCGCCGTCGTCCACCATCCCGCGCGCGCCGCCCGGGGGGGGGCCCGGCGCACGCACTTTCGGCGCGCGGTGTGTGTAACGAAATTGAGGCACATCCCCGGGAACCAACGCGAGCGCCGAACTACAGTAAACTGATAAGCACAGAAGCTCAAGCGGACACGGAACAGGTTCAGCACCCGGGTGCATACAAAGCCCCGATTGGCACTCAGGAAGATCCTCCCCTGCGAGGCGGGGGGGGGGCTTCTCCATCACCGCCGCCGGGGGGATCGCTCCCCAGGCCCCTCGGCAGGCGGGGCCCGAATACATCCACTGAAGGGGAACTGTGACACACAAATAAATACACACAAATAAAAATATCCCCCATATTTTCCCATATTTTCTGGGTCATTGTCTTCCCCCCCACTTCCCATATTTTCCCATATTTTCTAGGAATCGCCGATTAATTGTGTCTGTGTGTTTTTCCCCTCCTGATCCACATCCGCCGCCTGCCCAGGCTTCCGAAGATCGACCCCCCAGGCGGCGGGCAGGATCAATCAGCATCGAATCGGAAAAACAGGACCGGACCGGAACAGGCGTCGGATCGGGCCGCATCGGCACGACATTGAAGTCGAGTCGGATGGGCTGCACCTGGATATGCCTGGACGCACACTAGCGCCGCGTAAGATGCAAGCATTGCGTACTAGTAGTGCCGCATCGGATCGCGGGGCAATCGAAATCGAATCGGATCAGACTGGCCGAAATCGATGTCGAAGCGGCTCGATCAGATCGAAATGGACCCTGGTGGGCAGGCGGGTCTTGCTGGAAGCGGGTCCTGGAACCCAGGGCTCCCCCTTGGGACCACACTTTTTCGTCCCGAGATGTCTCCTGACGGCCCTGGAGCCCGTGAGAGCACCAGGAAGACCGGAGCGGCGAAAAACCCCAGGACCCGTGTCCCTCAGAGCTCCCTCCCCTCACGGCGGCACCCCCGCCTCGGCTCCCTCCGCTCCCGGCGGGCGGCCGCCGCTGCACCGATGCAGCGGCTGAGCTCGGACCCTGCGCCGAGCGGGGCGGCATCGCTCAAGAGCGAATCGGACCCGCCGCGCCGGGATGCGCACCAGCGCCGTGCGAGCATCGGGTTAAGCCGGGCCTGTCCCCCTAATTACAGGCCAATATTGGACGAAAAAAAGGAAGTAGAAACATGCTCCACAAATGCCCAAACATACTCCAACAATAGTGCCCCTGCTATTTTGTTGGCTACATTTCTGAAGATCCCCCCTGTAGAGGGACAGGCCCGACTTAAGTTAAGCATCGGGCCTCATCGGCTCGTCTCGGGGGGGCGGGGAGGCAGGGCGGAAAGCGGGGCAGGGACAGGCGCCGATGCAGTCAGGCAGCCCCCTGGAGGAGGGGGAGAAGGAGGAGGAGGAGGAGGAGGAGGAGGAGGAGGAGGAGGAGGAGGAGGAGGAGGAGGAGGAGGAGAGAGGAGGAGGAGGAGGAGGAAGGAGGAGGAGGATGGAGGAGGAGGAGGAGGAGGAGGAGGAGGAGGAGGAGAGTCCTGCCGATCGGATCGAGACTGGCCCTGCCTGCCCGCGGCCCTCCCCGGGACGGGCGGCCTCCCCGGCCTCCTCCTCCTCCGCGGGCGCCGCCTCGGCCTCGCCCTCCCCCGCGGCGGCCTCCTCGGCGGCTGCCTCGAAGGGGGGGGGGGCAGTGGGCCCCCCCTCTGCCCGTCGGGGGGGGCCCCCTCTGCCCGTCGGGGGGGCGGTGGGCCCCCCCTCTGCCCGGCGGGGGGGGGGCGGGGGGGCAGGCCAGGGCCGTCGTGGGCCCCGACGCGATGCGCACACCCTGCTGGCCGAGGCCTGGCGGGCCTCGACAGGCCCCCTGAGTGGCCCCGGCGCCCTGAAGGGAGGCCCCTCGAAAGTCCCTCATACGCCTGCGGGCCGCGGCCCCCGACCCAGACCGCAGGGGAAACGCAGCTCTGCCTGCCGCACCTGGCCGCCTTCGCGCTGGCAGACCACGGCACAGCGCAGAGAGGAGGAGGAGGAGGAGGAGGAGGAAGAAGAAGAGGAGGAGGAGAAGGATGCGGAGGAGGAGGAGGAAGAACGCTACAGCTGCTCATATTAAGTCCGATCAACGTAGAAGAAGGAGGATTAGGAGGAGGAGGAGGAGGAGGAGGAGGAGGAAGACGAGGATAAGGAGGAATACGAGGAGGAGGAGGAGGAGAAGGAGGAGGTGGACGAGGAGGAATAGGAGGAGAAGGAGGAAGAAGACGAGGGGGGGGGAATGCGACGAGGAGGAGGTGGAGGCGGAGGCGGAGGCGGAGGCGGAGATGGAGGAGGAGGAGGAGGAGGAGGAGGACAACGAAGAAGGAGAGACGACGGGGAGGGGCGCGTGCCCCCTGGCCGCCGCGCGCTGCAGACAGGCAGCCTCGCTCAGCCAAGGGAGCCGGGACGGCCCTGGCCAGGATGGGCCCGGGAGGGCCCTGGCCGGGCGCGGCGGCGGAGTCCCAGGGGGACCCGAAGAGAGGAAGACCATCTTGGCAGTGGCTTCAACTCGCTCTCTCGCTTCCCCGGATTGAGCAGGGACCGGCCGTCCCGGCATTTCTACAGCCGTGCCACGAAATGTTCTTAGAACCGAAAAATGTTCTAAGAACAAGCACAATGTTCTTAGAACATAAACCCGATGTGATAAAGCAAAACAATCCCAACCAGAAATGTTCTAAGAACATTCCGTGGGAACCACAAACAGTTCTTAGAACATTGTTTGGGTAGGACTATAGGCACGCCAGGACGCTTCGCCACTGCTTGACCGGAGGGGCGGAGCATCGGTCCGATCAGGGGGGAAGTGGGGCTTGAGATTCGGGCGACTGGGGACACGACGGGGGACGAGGACGAGAGGGCCAGGAAGAGAGTGGCTTCGCTATCCTCTGTTGAACGCCTTCGCCATGTGTCGCAAGACCGACGCTGCACGGGAATCCCACCGACCTCTGGGCGTAGGTGGTTTAGGGAGTGAAGGCTTCCACACCCCTTCTTCCTCTACGAAAAAAACAACATATGCCGTGTTTCCGCTATCGGGAAAAACGTGTGCTATCTGGATCACGCGCACAATTAGGACGGGAATAACGTAACGGCATCATTGGCTCAGGATGCCTTCAAAAAAATCCGAAGCATCTGGCGGCTATAGTTTCCGCAGCCCGTGTGGAGCATGGGTATCTGAAAAATCCGGAGAACCTTGGAATATATCATTGTAATGACCTCTGGCTTCTCTGAACAACATCTGCCAAACGGCAGAGAGAAAGGGGAGGAACGGGTCGAGGAAAGAGCCACGCAGGAACAAGAGGGATCTACATGTTTTGGAACAAACTGAAGGACAACATTGGTCGGCCCCGCGGAGTGGACACATCTGGCCATACCCCGCGCTTGGTCACGAACCGGCCGCGACGACGACTAGCAGCTAAGGCCACCCTCTCCCCGTCGCTCGGACGTCCATTCCCTGTTCTTTTTGTTGGTTTCGTGCGTGTTCTTTTCGCAGGATGGTCCAGGATGCTCCTTAATAATCCCCGCCGAGAAAAAGTGCACACGTCCGAGCGATACCAAGACACTGGTATCCCTCGCTGGAACCCCTCACATCGCGCATCCTCACCCCTCCAGCGAGGCGCCCCGAAGAGGCCCTGCATCCTTCAGGAGGTGCGACGGCTTCGTGCCGTGGCGGCGCAGGCGCTGGCGCTTCTGACCCCGCGTGGATCGTTCAACCTTTCACGATCGCGCTTTTCCGATCGCGCAGATCGTTCGATGTCGGCCGATTCATGGGCACTGGTGGCACTCAACTGAAGGAGCCCCAGGACACACAAATAAATCGGAGGTGAGGGGGTGAGATCGAAGTGGAACGGAGAGCCCCCCTACCGGGAAATCGATTTCGGTTTCGTGTTCGTGCGTGCCGTGCGTGCGGGCGAGGCGAAGCTGCGTGGGCGGGCAAGAGAAAGTCTCCCGTGGCTGAGGCGCGGCCGGACCAAATGATTCTCCACCGGGCGGCCGGTGGCGCGCGGTGTCCCGCCGGTGTCCCGCTGGTGTCCCGCGTCGGTTCTCCTGTGGCTGAGGCGCGGCCGGACCAAATGTTTCCCTTCCGGGCGGCCGGTGGCGCGCGGTGTCCCGCCGGTGTCCCGCTGGTGTCCCGTCGGTGTCCCGTCGGTGTCCCGATGATGATGTGGATGATTATTATGATGATGATGATGATGATGATGATGATGATGGTGATGATGATGATGATGATGGTGATGGTGATGGTGATGATGATGATGATGGTTATGATGATGATGATGATGGTGATGATGGTGATGATGATGCGCGAGCTCGAACGAGGAGGGGAAACAATTACGGTGTTGCCCATTGCTGGGCCCCTCCCCCCCAACCTAGACCGAATGAGAGTTCGACTGTGAGACCGAATGTGAGATCGATTGCGAGATCGATTGTGATATCGATAATGAGATCGACTGTGAGATCGATAATGAGATCGATTGTGAGATCGATAGTGAGACCGAATGTGAAACCGAATGTGAGATCGACAGTGAGACCGATTGCGAGATCGATTGTGAGATCGACAGTGAGACCGAATGTGAGACCGAATGTGATATCGATTGTGAGATCGATTGTGAGATCGATAGTGAGATCGATAGCGAGATCGATAGTGATATCGATAATGAGATCGAATGTGAGATCGATAGCGAGATCGATTGAGTGAGACTTTGGTTCCCCCTCCCCCCTCACCTCCTTATCACCCGCAGGGTGGTCGTATAGGTACACAAATAAACAAAATCCCCATATTTCCCCATATAGTGTGGGTTTTTGTCTTCCCCCCCACTTCCCACATTTTCCCATATTTTCCTGGGGATCGACGATTAATTGTGTCTGTGTGTTTTTTCCCCTCCTGATCAACGTTCAGCGCCCTCGCTGTGGCGCCACCGCCGCTGCGCCGACACGACGGGCACCTGCCGTGCACGCTCCCCCCTCTACGGCCGGGCCCGGCTGCGGCCAGGGCCGCTCCCCTGCAACCCGTGTGGATCCCGCAACGGTGCGGGCCCTCCGAACCCCCAAAAACCTCACCGCACGGTTCGGGTCGGGCGAATGGGGGGGACAGCTAAGGGGGGGGTTTTGAGAATCAGCTCACGTAGCTGATTTCCCCGGCGCCTCCCGGCGCCGGAGGCGGACATGTATCGAGGAATGGGCCCCTCGGCGAGGCCGAAACAACCAGCTGCATGCAGCAAATTTCGGACCCCCCCTTTCCCAATCCCCCCCGTTCGTCCGGCTCGAACGGTCCGTCATCGCACGGCTGTGCGGCCTCGGAAGCCCCCGTCGCCCGAGACGTCCTCGGAGAACGACCCAGGTCCCAAAACCCGTGCGGCCACCGCGAGTCCCCGCTGACTCACCCCACACGGTGTGGTCCCCGCACCGCTCGCGGACGCGCACTGACCCGGGTCAGAACTGACTACCTACCAGACCACCCCAACCCAACCCGAAGACCCCAATTTCGGGTTGGGGGGGGTACGGGCTCCATACGTGTTTTTTCGATGTTCCCCGACCCCCCCCAACTGGAAATGGATGGCAAATTGAGGCCTTCGGGTTGGGTTGGGGTGGTTTGGTGGGTGGTGAAGAACAGAGCCCAGGTCGGTCAGGAGCCCTGTCGCGAAGCCCGCCCCAGCCGCTCAGCAGCTCCCAAGCCCGGGCCAGCGGAGGGCCGACAAGAAGGAACCGGCCCGGCGGGGCCCTCCACGCCAGGGCGGCCCACTGCAGTGGGCATCGGCGGACCCCCGGCGGCGCGGACGCCCGCCTCGTGAGCCCCGCACCGTGTGGGCGCCTCTGCGCGGGGCACGCGCGCAGGAGCGCCCCGCGGGGCGGCGGGCCTGCGGCTCACGGGCTCGGGCCACGAGGCCGTGGATGCGGATAGGTGCCCGCCCACGGCTGCCTTACTGCAGTCGGGGCGCTGACCTAAGGAACCCGAAATAAGGAACGAGGCCCCTTTTCTCCAGAAGTTGAACTTCGATTTCCCTTCGGAAACCAAAAACCCAAGGCAAACTGTGAAGCAATCAAGGGACATGGAGCCCCTCCCCAACGAAAAGGGTTCCTTCTTCAGGGCACCGACTGTACACGGTGTGTGGATGGCGACTTCCGAACCCTACCCCCACCAACCATCGACGCTCCCAAATCGATGGGGGCCGGGGTAGGACTCGGATTCCGCCACTCGCTGGGCGACTTCCGAACCTTGCCCCCGCCGCCCATCGAGTTGTCTGAACCGCTGATCGGCGAGGGTCGGGTTCGGACCTCGCCGCTGAGTGCGGTCACCGCGCCGCGCACTCTGCACTCTGCAGTGTACTCGGCAGAAGCAAGTATCTATGCCGACTGCACCAATCAACAAAACAACGGTCAACCGATACCTTGACCAGTCAGAGCGGACAGTTCGAGGCCGAATCGTGCGAGAAGCTGGGCAGGGTCACCGCGCCGCGCGGGGCTCCCGAGGCCCTACCGCCCCTCTCCGCGGCCGGGGGCCGGCCTCCTCGGCAGCGGGGGCCTCCTCGGTGGCGGCGGCCTCGTCGACGGCGCCGGCGGCCTCCTCGGTGGCGGCGGCCTCCTCGGTGGCTGCGGCCTCCTCGGTGGCGGCGGCCTCCTCGGTGGCGGCGACCTCCTCGGTGGCGGCGGCCTCCTCGATGGCGGCGGCCTCCTCGGTGGCGGCGGCCTCCTCGGTGGCGGCGGCCTCCTCGGTGGCGGCGGCCTCCTCGGTGGCGGCGGCCTCCTCGGCGGCGGGTGCCTCCTCTGCGGCGGCCGCCTCCTCGGGGGGACTGGGGGGGAGGACGACCAAGACAACGACGGCGACGGTGCAGGCGAACGCGACGGCGAAGGAGGGAAGGAGCAGGATGATGATGATGATGATGATGAGGAGGAGGAGGAGGAGGAGGAGGAGGAGGAGGAGGAGGAGGAGGGAGGAGGAGGAGGAGGAAGGAGCAGGAGGAGGAGAGGAGGAGGAGGAGGAGGAGAAGAAGGAGGAGGAGGAGCAGGAGGAGGAGGAGGAGGAGGAGAGAAGGAGGAGGATGAGGGAAGGAGGAGGAGGAGGAGGAGGAGGAGGAGGGAAGAGAGGAGGAGGAAGAGGAGGAGGAGAGGAGGAGGAGGAGGAGGAGGAGGAGGAGGAGGAGCAGGAGGAGGAGGAGGAGGAGGAGGAGGAGGAGGAGGAGGAGGAGGGAAGGAGGAGGAGGAGGGGGAGGAGGAGGACGGGGAAGAGGCGCGCCCTCCCCTCTCCCAGGGCGGGGCGGAGCGGGGAGGCGCGGGGAGGCGCGGCGCACGACGCCCCGCCCCCAGGCACAACTGCCGCGGCAAAGCACACCGGCCACCAGGAAGATGCCTCCGGGGGCAGGGGCGGGAGCACGGGGCCGGGGTCCGAGCAGATGGGGTCGGGGCGAGGAGGAGGAGGAGGAGGAGGAGGAGGAAAAGGAGGAGGAGGAGGAGGAGGAGGGAAGGGAGGAGGTGGAGGAGGAGGAGGAGGAGGAGGTGGAGGAGGAGGAGGAGGAGGAGGAGGAGGAGGAGGAGGGAAGGAGGAGGAGGAGGACGGGGAAGAGGCGCGCCCTCCCCTCACCCAGGGCGGGGCGGAGGGGGGAAGCGCGGCGCACGAGGCGTCGCTCCCAGGCACAACGGCCGCGGCAGAGCGCACCGCCAAGTTAGAGGCCTACTGGATGGGGTCCGAGTACAGTCGGACTTGATTGGAGAGGACACGCGAAAGGACACAAGACCCTTCCGAGGGCCACGTTGCCACAGAAGTGCAGGAGGCCTGGGTCGCAAGACACAGGACACGAGGGTACCCTTGATCTGGCAGGGTCGACCAATTAATCCTGGCCGACATACCAAATTAGAAGCCTCATATATTAGGCAAACGCGTTCCGCTACTCGCAAAGTCACTGCTCGCAAATGGCCTGGATCCGCCGCGGGGGATCTGCGATACGTTACATCGAGGAAGACATATTATTCTGGGACTTTTGCAAGTAGGCACTTTGCGAGTAGTGGAACGCGCTCGGTGATAGATGGGGTCCGGGTAGATGGAGTCGGAGGATGGCGCCGCATCGCCGATACATCGACGATGCATTGGCGATGCATCGGCGATAAACAGGCGATGCATCGTCGACGTCGGCGTGGAGGAAATCGGGCTCCACATCGAGCCGCATCGACGATGCATCGGCGATGCGGCGCTCCTCGGGCCCCATCTGCTCCGTCCCCATCTAGGAGGCCCAGACAAATGCACATCGAAACTCCCGAAATAGTGATTGCATTCAGGGGCTCCCGCCGCTCTTTTTACGGAATTGGGCATGGTTGTCGATCCAGCCAGCGTGTGGCCGGCCGCCCGTCGCCGCCCGCCGCCGCCGTCCCTGGACACGAATTTGATTGTGAGAGGCTCGCACTGGGCATTGCTTTGCATCTCGTTGCGTTGCTGTGCCTTGCTTTGCATTGCTTTGCACTGCTCTGCGCAACCCGGCTTGCACTACAAAATTTGCAGAACATGGATTGGCCACCCGGATTGCACAGTCCAGTGTCCAGGAAATGGCTGTCGGGGTCCACGCTGGCCAACACACTCATTTCTCTTACACTAGGGGAAAACAAACCTACCTCGCTTTCGACCTCCCTCGCTTCCAAGAGATGCCAAGCGATGCCAAACTACGGCCTGTGCTGGACAGATCGCTCGACGAGGAGGCGCGTGGTATGACTTGGTTCTGCCTGGAAGCGAAAGCGGGGTAGGTAATTCACGCTGAGTTACACGCGATCGTGGCCGCCCGGGCACAGAAAACATAGCTGGCGCCTCGGGCGAACCGGCCGTTTGGGCTACCCCGAGAATCCTGGGGGCACCTTGGCCGAGGGGCACTTCTAGCAACACCCGAACGCTGGCTAACACATTCATTTCTGTTGCACGCGATCGTGGCCGCCCGGGGCCAAAGAAACATAGCCGGCGCCTCGGACGAAGCGGCTGCCGGACCAATGGCGTCCTCGGGCGCCCCCTCCCCTCCCGTGGCGAGGGCGCACGGGCAGGGCGCGCCTCTCGCCTCTCCCCCGACGGGGGAGGGCGCCCTCTGCCCGGTGCTCCCACACCGCCCCACCCCTACTCTTGGGTCGGGCATGTCCCCCTATACAGGGGGGTTGGGGACGAAACATTAAAGATACAAAAAAAAACGCCCCGCAAAATGTGCAAAAATAGTCCAAAAGTCGTCCCCAGACTATTTATTCACTATTTTTGAATATTTCTCCAGTAGAAGGACAGGCCCGACTCAACCCTACTTCGGGGAAGGCCGGGGTCTCACCTGCGCCCTCTCTGGGCGCAGGTGGTTCAGCGAGTTCCCGGAGAAGGCGCCTTCGAGGTTCGCAGGCGGCTCAGCGAGAGGGTCTCCCTCCGCCCTCTCGGGACGCAGGTGGGCCCTCTCTGGGTTCGAAGGGGAGGACGTTGATGGTGCCGTGGCCTTTTGCGTCTCACACTCTCGCTCTGAGGGCAAGGTGATTGGGGACGCGACGGGGGAGGAGGACGAGGACGAGGCAGAAAGAAATTTCGCCATCAATTTCTCTGCCCCTCCGCCATGGACCGCAAGACCGGCACTGCGTGGGATGTCCACCAGCCCTCTGGGCGTTGGAGGTTTAGGGAGTGAGTACTTCCAACCGCCTTCGCCCCCCAGGGAGGGGTTTGCCACCCACCCTCAATACCCTGGGTCCGGAAGGGCGCGGCCGCTGGTCCGCTCTCCAGCACCCAGGATGTCTCCGCGATAGCCCCAGGTAGCCCAAGATGGCCTCCGAGATCGCAGTGTAGCTCGAGAAGGCACATGATGTCCTCTGGTATGCTTCCGGGATGCTTCAAGATCGATCCAGGACGGCTCAAAGAGGCAACGGAGCGTCCCAACGACACCCCCCCAAGCCTCGAGTCCTTCCAAAAACAGTATCCGCCGACCCAGTCGGCGTGTGTGACATGTTTTTCCGTATGAGTCGTCATCGTCGCCGTCGCCGCTCATCTTTTTCGTCTGAGTCGTCGTCGCAGTTGCCACTCTCCCCCCTGTCCCTGAACACTCCTCCTTAAGCGATCCAGCCAGGCGGAGATCACAGCTGTAATTGAGTCGAAGGGAAGCCCGTTAGCCTTCCCTTTGATCCCTTCCCCGCTGGGGGGGGGGGTCGGGGCGTGCCCTGGAGGGGAGACTCGCCGGGGGGAGATTCGCCAGGGGGAGTCCCAGCCGGGAGGGGCCGGGGGATCGTGACGGTCCCCCCCTGTCTCCGGCCAAGACGGCCCAAGAGAGCCACATGACCGCAAAGGGGGGAAACCAGTCGAGTCGATTGGAAGCTCCAGGCCTTCCCTTCGATCACTTCCCCGCGCGGGGTGGTTCCCGGGGGGATCGCCGGGGGCGGTCCTGGGAGTAGGTACCAGGGGTGGGTCCCGAGGCAAATACCGTCGGGGCGTTGACCTAAGGAACCCTAAATAAGGCACGAGGCCCCTTTTTTCCATAAGTTAACCTTCGACTTCCTGTCGAACACATAAGGAAAGCTTGAGGCAAGCTGTGAAACACTTTTAAGGAACGCGGAGCCCCTCCCAAACGAAAAGGGTTCCTTCTTCAGGGCCCCGACTGTAGGGCCCACAAGGGCCCCCTACAATGGCCCACGAGCGTCGCCGACGTCGCCGTCGTCCTCTGCGTCATCCCATGGCAGACTCGGCGGCGCCAGCCGTAAGGCCTCCGCCATGTCAAGGAAGTTTGCCTCCTCGCCTTGTCGCTTGGGATGGACTCTTGAGGCCTCGAGATGGGCCCCACGAGGTCATGGTTCGGCTTCCGACGGGGGGCGCTGATGAATCGCAGAATTTCTCACCCGACCCCAATCATGGGACTGCTTTTTGCGCGGGCTGCTTGACGGCCTGGGGCCCCACCAGTACTTGGAACAGAAGTATTTCCTCGCGGCGGCCACCGCTCAGGCATCCGCCGTCGTCGTCGTCGCCGCCGCCGTCGGTCCCAGACGGTCACCGACGCAAGCTGCGGAAACCTCAAGTTGTGGGAAGGTTCCCCAGCGCAGGGGGAGAGGAGGCTGTACGCACAGGCTGAGCAGGAAAGGCCCATTGCGCGGGAGGACGAGGGGGAGGAAAAGGAGGAGAAGGACGAGGAGGGGATGGACGAGTTGAGTTGCAAACCGAGAATTAGGGGGGATCCTGGCTAGCATGAAAGAACCTTCGCGGTGAGGCCTCACCTGTTTGATCGATGGCCTCCAAGATGGCTCCTAGAGAGGCCAAAGACGGCCTCACGAGGGCCCGAAGAGAGCCCGCCACGCTTGCAAAACTGCCCTAGATAGCTGCAATGGGCTCCCCGATGTCCAACTTCATCATTGCGGGCCTCTTTGGTTCACCACATGCTTACCTGCGCACCTGCTCCGGACAACTGCCATGGGAATCGGTTCTGGATGGGCTAGTGGGGGTTCTTTCCCCGTCGCAGCCGCAAACGACGGCGCATGCGGTGCCAGAGGTCAACCCGGGCTACGGGCGAAGCCTAATTACCCAGCGGACGCACTCACGACGGCTGCCGAGGCTGCCGCCAAGGGAGGCTGAGGGGCGCCGGGGGCTGAGGGCAGGCTGCGAAAGCTGCCAGGAGAGCCGGGAGGCCAGCGTGCGGGCATCCCAGAGGCGAGACCACCGGGAAGAGAACGAATTGAACTTTGTCGCCCAGGCGCCAGAGGTAGACGCGCCACCGAACGTGGCGAAGTGCGGGGCTGCGCAAGCAGTCCAGCGTGCTAGGCGGCCAGTGGGGATTCTCTTTATATATATATATATATATACACGGAAGCGCCAGCGGCGAGCAGTCACGGTCGGGCTGCGGCCGCGACTAAATTCCCGAGCGCGCGCGGGGCCGCGGATCAGGCGGCAAAGCAGCAGCAACCCAGGGCGTCTCAGGGGCCAGGCGGTCGTGCAGTCCCAGGGAGTCTGAAAGGTCAGTCGCCTGAGGTGGTCGTGCAAGCGACAACCCAAGGAGTCTGCAAAGTCAGCCAACCGGGGAGCCAGGCGCAGCCAAAATGGCGCGCAGTGCGTTCCATGCCGTGATCGTGACAAGACAACCACAAGGTAGGGAACGATCTCCGTGCGGGAAGTCAATCCAGGGAGTCTGACGGGTATGAGCAGACAGAAACTGGTGACGTCGTCCAGCAGGAAAGAATCTGACAGCGCCAGCGAACCGTCGCAGCATCAGAAACGCATCCGCACAGGCGGGGAGCCAAGGCCGAGCAGGCAAAGCAAGACTCGACCACTCCTGAGCGGTGCGCCTGCGCGCAGAAGGCCAGCGGTCAAATCTGGACGCAGCAGAGGTACACGATAGCCAATCTGTGAGAACGCGAGGTCGCTCAAGGATGGACGTGCACCAACCATCAATGTAACTTAGCGCCAGCCGACCCACACAGCCAAGTGGGAAGCGCTCGAAGGACAGCAACCGTCGTATACCAAAGACGGCAAATCCCTCACAGTCACAGAGTCCCAGGGAGATCCGCGCACCTGAAAGCGCGGGAGAGCAACGGAGAAGGACCGAGCGACCGTCAAACCCCTAAACTGTCCGCAGCCAGGTAGAGACGCACCGCATCGGTAGGCGGCGCGAGTCGGGTGAGGTCGTCGGCACAGTCGGAGGGGAGCAAGAGGACTGGGTCAGCCTTCCGCACGTTCAGCAAAACGACCCGCGTCGCAGGACTGCCCGTCCATTCGTGTCTCGCGTTGCTCCCAGGAAAACGGATAGGCACGGCTGAAGGCCGTAGTAACTTGGAGATCCCAGGGAGTGAGCGCAGGTCTGGGGACGGGACGAAAACCGCCAGATCGTCGCCACATGACTGCGCGCCAGGCTTGGCCTGGCGGGGTGAAAACAGCTACAGTAGGGCCAGGGGCCTCTATGACCACACGCAACCCGAGATTGCAGTGTGGACGGTGTTGCTGGCACACGTACTTGGGTCCAAAGGCAGGAAGTGCGCGTACCAGGAGGGGCGGCAGGATGCCACAAGCGGGTCTGGGGTCCAAAGCGCGGCTGAAGGCCGCTGTCAGATAGAGAATCCCAGTGTGCAGGCACTTTGGAGTGGGTCCCGGGTGGTCCCAACCACTTAGCAGGGCACAGGACCGTTCGGGCCACTGGCGAGAACCACTACAGCGAGGCCAGGGGCCAGCTAGGGTCTGCGAGCTACGCTCCCACACGCAGCGAGGCAGATGGTATTGTTGGTCGGCACACTAGGGTCCAAAGGCAGGAAGTGTGAGGACCAGGGAAATGGGCAGCATGGCTGCCACACGGTTGTAAGGAAAGGCAGGGCAGCTGAAGGCCGCCCGTAGTGTGTAGTGAGGTTGTCTTTCCGCTGTTTGGACACTGGATGCATGGGGAGTGAGCTCAGTCTCTCCATCGGTGTCTTTTTTCGTCTCGCTCGTCGGGTCTGCCTCCACCGCGCTTGCCGCCCGCCTGCCAGCGATCATCGCGCCACCCTTCACTCCAGGCGCTCTGCCAGTTACCCGGTGTCCCAGGAGCTTGTCGCACGGTCTCGCCAGCTGCTCTGCTGGGAGTTGCCTGTGCCCCTGCCGTCGGGTCGGGTGTGTCGCAGGTAGTCGGCCCGCAGTTTGTCCCAGTCAATGCGATAGCCGTATCTCGCGTCCATCAGGTAAGCGTTGTACCCGCAGCCCTTCCAGTCATCGAGAAACTTGTTGATGGTCGCTTCCGTGTGCAATCTCGGGTCCGATTTGGGTTCCCTGGGTCCGGGGAGCCAAATGCGCTGCGTGTGGGCGGTCCACAGGGCGCAGAAAACTGCACCCAACTCCGACTGGTATCTGGCGAGGCGTTTGGCGGGGGGCTCGCCGCGACGCTCCAAGTCCACAGTGCCCAGCCAGACCTTGTACATGGGGCCCCCATGTGAGTCGGTCAACAGGTTGAGCGTGTCGCGCTCCGTCGAACCTGTTGGGCGAGGGTAGGTGGGTCTATGCCCAGGGACCTGTGGGTTAAGCAGTGGGGTCCGATGGGTCCGCGCGTCGCCCCTGTCGCGGGCGCTCTCATCGTCCTCAGAACCCCTGGCTGCACTGGTGTTTTGGTCGGTGTTAGCCGGGCCATCCCCGGCGTCGGTCGGGTCGCGTTCGGAGCTGGGTTCAGAGCTGTCTGCCGCTGGGCTCCGCTGAGGCGCCTTGTCGCCAGGGCCGTTGTCGTCGACCTCTGTGGCCGAGTCCGAGCAGTATACAGGAGGAGGGGGCTCGCCTTCTCCGTAGTCGGGTGACTCCACCTTCTCCGTAGGGGGGATCACGTCTTCACCGCTCTCGTCCTTGACGGTGTGGTCGGGCGGGTCCCGGAGGCCCAGACGCGAGTCGTCGTCTCTCGTACCCAGGGACTTGTCTGTGTCGGCCGCCGTAGGGGTGCCCGGCCTGTCCTCACTCATGGTCTGCACGACTGGTGGAGGTGATTCGGCCAAGGAAGTGATGGACGTGGAGGCGAGGGCATCGGCACTGAGGCTGAGTAGGAAACTCGTCAGAGTGCCCATTTCGTGCCTGATGGGACTAAGGCCACTTGCCGGGCGTCAATAATTTTGTGTACACTGCGTGGCCGAGTGTGAACAGACACGCCTTTTTCAAAACTCGCTGAACTCTAACACTGGTGACCCCAAACGTCGTGAGTTTGTGCAAAAAGGCGCCCTCGAAGTCTCGGCCACTGTGATTGAGACTGGTTCTTCGATCAGCGTGATCGCTCTTCGACGCCCCCGGGGCCTGGCAAGGACCCCCAGACACCTAAACCTCTCAAACGCCATCCTTCATGTTTTCCTTCTCTCTCTCTCTCTGCCTCTACCTCGCAGCGCGAGGGGGTCTTGGGCAGCGCCAACGGACCGGCTGACCAGCGGAGACCGAGAGGTACAGTCGGGGCGTTGACCTAAGGAACCCTAAATAAGGAACGAGGCCCCTTTCTCCCATAAGTTGAACTTCGATTTCCCATCGGAAACCTCAGGAGAACCGAAGGTACACTGCAGAACAAGCAAGGAACACCGAGCCCCTCCCCAACGAAAAAGGTTCCTTCTTCAGGGCCCCGACTGTACGCAAGCGGCGAATAGTATTGAACGTTACCATGCGGAGCGCACGAACCGGGGCCAGCCCAAACCCGCGTCCGGCCCGGGCCCTGTCGCGAAGCCCGGCCAGCCGCTGAGCGCCTCCCATGACCCGAGACAGCAGCAGAGGTCGGAGAGGGGGAATCGGCCCCTCGTGGCTCCCAGGCCGGAGTCGGCCAGAGGGAGGAGGAGGAGGAGGAGGAGGAGGAGGAGGAGGAGGAGGAGGAGGAGGAGGAGGAGGAGGAGGAGGAGGAGGAGGGGGAGGGGAGGAGGGGAGGGGGAGCAGGGGGAGGGGGGGAGAGGAGGAGGAGGAGGAGGGGGAGCAGGGGAGGAGGGGGAAGAGGAGGAGGAGGGAGAAGGAGGAGGAGGAGGAGGGGGAGCAGGGGGATGATGATGATGATGATGATGATGATGATGATGATGATGATGATGATGATGATGATGAGGAGGAGGAGGAGGAGGAGGAGGAGGAGGAGGAGGAGGAGGAGGAGGAGGAGATGGAGGAGGAGGAGGAGGAGGAGGAGGAGGAGGAGGAGGGCTGGCTGACCCCGAGATAGCGCTGACCCCAAGATAGGGCTGGCCCACGTGAACAGAGCGGCCGAACGGCCCCGGCCCGTCGGCACGCAGACCCCCGCCCGACACGACGTGCTGGCCGCTGCCTCTGCAGCGGCGGCCTCGCCGTCGGCGGGGGCCTCCTCGGCGGCGGCCTCCTCCGCGGCAGGCGCCTCCTCGGCGGCCGCCGCCTCGGCTTCAACGGGAGGGGGGCGTGTGATTTTTTGTTTCTTTTCCCATCCCACTCAAGCAGTCCTCGCGGCCATGCTTGGTGAATCTGTCCTCTGGTGTGGTGCTGTGGTCAGGTCACAGCGGCGTTCACCGGGCAAGTCAAGGACCACCAGGTCGGGCGAACTACACACGCCCATGCCCATGGGGAGGTCGGAGTGTAGGAGAACTGTCTGTTGGTAAGGGTGTGGGTTGTCGGACCCCAGGGGGAAGCTCTGGTCCGAACGGGGACCCCCCCTTCCGACAACACGCACCCATAGCCCCTTTCCGTCCCCCTTTCTATGGGTGCGTGCTGTTCGTTCGTCGCCACCGGGTCTGACAAAGGGGGTCAGGACAGAGGGGGCTGGCGAATCGGCTCCCGGAGGCGCCCACGCATCGAGGAGAACGCCCAGCGGCGGGGCCGAATCGAACTGCATGCCCCTTTCTGGACCTACCGGCCTGTCCAGGTCTTTCGGCCGATGGTGGTGACGAGCAAGTACGTGATGGCTCCAGTGCAAGGCCTCTCGTGCAGCTGATTGGATGAACTGCCGCCCCGTTTTGGCAGGGTGCGCAGCCCGTGTAAACATCCTTGCAAACGCCCGCCCCCCGGGCAGCAGCTGTGGTGCTCGATCGCCCATTTGCCAGCCTCCGGGACCAACGGAAGGCCGAGGGCCGAGTCGTGCAACGGCCGACGGGCGGGTCGATGTCCCAGGCACGACACCATGTGCGTCACCGCGCTCGGCCTCGGGGGGTCCTGTTCTGGGCCCCCCGGGGCCGTCCAAAATCTTTTCCAAGAGGAAGCCCCGCCGATGTGATGGATTCCACCCGCGGCCTCAGAAGTTTACCAGTGGCTCTCTCATAGCTCCTTCCAATCCATGATCGATAAGGGCTGTGGGAAAAGAAACGCGAAGAGGAAAATAACAATTAATTAGAGGTAGCGCATCCTGCCCCACCACTCGCCTCCAGGGTCCTCTTCTGGGCGAGCCAGGGGCCACGGACGCGTCAAGTGCAGGCCCTTAGGCCATGGGCACTTGCCCTTCTTGATCTGAGACCTCTGTTGCTTGAAGATTTTATTGCAGGGCTCTCCTATCTTACGGGGAAGGCCCGAAGTATAAGCCCCGCGACGAGAACAAAACACGAATGGTAGATTAGTCTCTACAATGCGGCACACGTGCAATTTGCGTGGGGGAGAGACTTCCAACTCCACCACCTGCCTGAGGCTGGGGGTCAAGGCGGCGCACGGGCTCTTGGGTCGCTGGTTGCTGAAGGTGCGAGCGCATTGGACGCACCTCCACGCTAACCCAGTCCAGAGCACACGGTGAGGGCGACCGCTGGAGACAGCCTTCGGCCTCGGGATGGACGGATTGCGGGCTCAATCACCGAAGAGAACTTTAGCTTTCGGGATCTCAAGGAGAATATTGGCCATACCTACTGCTACTTCCTCCCAGCCTGCCAAACACACCTCGTATTTGTTAATGTCATTAAGGACCTCTCGATGATGACGTTTAGCTCCGTCTTTAGCTAGCTCATCGGCTTTGTCATTGCCTCGCTGGTGTCGCAGGGCAACTCCCGTGAGCTTTCCTTGCGCATGGGCCTTGGCTTTTTTTCCGACTCCACTGGGGAACTGCTGAACGGTCGAGGGCTCGCCATACTTCTGACAGCGGACTGGCGCCTGAAATAGCCTTCCAAGGATCACGATATCCTCCTAGCAACGCTTCGCAATCCATGTGAATCAAATACTCGGCCCCGTCAGGGTCGCCCTCCTGGTCTGGCTCGAGGTGCGCGAGGCCAGACAGGAGCGCATAAACTTCACCAAAAACAGCACTCTGGGGGAGGAAACCAGGAACGTTACCATAGATGCCTCTGATAAATCCTCCCTCCTCGTTGACAGAAACGAAACCTCATCCAGCTCTGGGAACCATGTCGCGGGTACCTCCATAACAGGACCCATCACTATAAAGATGCTCGTTCTTGTTGAATCGGAATGGTTCGACGGGCCCGTCAGGGCCCACGAAAATATCTCACCGTCCCAGGTCGGTTCCTGCAGGTCGTTCGGCACAGGGAGCCACAAAGAACTGAAAAAAAACGGATCCTCTGGTCCTGCCCCCAGTCCTGCTGCTGCCCATTCTGCTGGGAGATGCTCTGCTCGGCGATCCGCCAAGGCTGGGCATTCAAAGCACCTGTGCCAGACTCCGTCGATGGCGCCGTGCACACCGTCGCGGCACAGCGGGCAAAGCGGCTCGAGCTGGTAGCCCCACTTGCGTAGATGACTGGCCGTCACATAAGACCGTGTGAACACTTGCTTCATGACACGTTTTTGGAGCTTGCTCTGGCGCTGAGAGTTCCAGAAGGACCGATGGGGCTCCACCCAGAGGCCACGCTCCAAAATCTCGACAGCACGCTCGTGTTCACAGTCTTTCAGCCTACGCTGCATACTCTGCTGCACGAACTCCTTGCCTAAGTCCCTGACAAAATGCTTTGAAACTGAAACATACGGCATATCAGAAAGCACACAGGGGGGCCCATCCCGCATGGTAAAAATCCCAGGTCCACGGATCGACCATCCAGCTCTGGATATCCATTGCAGCATACCCCCGACATGGCCCCAAGCCAAACAATCCCAAGAAGCATTCGGACGACGTTCCTGAAAACGGTGAACCTCATGGACCAGCTTGACCAGATCCCCACCGACAGCGCAATCCCCAGGTCGAAGTTTCTCGTCCGTGGCTAGCCAGAACTCCATCGCAAAACGGGTTAGGGTCGCGCCTGCATGTTTGATCGGGTCCTTGCTGGGCTCCAAGGCAAAAGCGAGGTTGAGGTCCGCCCCGCAGGTGGTGAGACCTAAAAAGCCCGCAGCTTGAGACCTGAGCTTCCTGATCTCTCGGGGCGTCCACCCCGCAACCTCTTCGCCGTGCGTTGTCGCAGGCTTGACTCCGCAAAACCAAACCATGGCCCTGGATTGTTTCGTTTTTGCTTCTTCTTTTTTTTTTGGGGGGGGGCTGCGTATCTTGGCAAGACGGGACCTCCCTTTCCTCCACCTCTCCTTTCGTTTAGCCTTAGCCCGGGGTCTGGTCTTGGACTTCCCAGGCGCAAGGTCCACTCCCAAGTTGATGATGGAGTGGTTCAACTCACCTGCGTACTGTCCCAGCTGACTCTGCGCGAGCTCCACAAGCTCAGTGCTGGTGCCAGTGATCGCAAACTTGTTAAAGGCAAATCGCAGGTTGAAGAGGGAGGACAGCTGCTCGACCAAGAACGCCATAGCCAGGGCCATATTTCTAACGCAACTGTGTATACAACTATCATACATGTTCAGCGAGAAGTCGTCTATGTGTACAGCTAATGTAGGTGCGAACCTGAGCTCCTGGAACCGATTTACAGTGGGTACGCAGTAACATTTTATTTCAAACGTCGCTGTACTACTCCCAGCTACGATTCCCTGCCCAGGTACCAACTCCTCCGACGCCATCCCCTCCATACTGAGTACCCTAGCCCACCGATAAGTGTGAATGGCGAAGCGGACCGTGAATAGGGGATATTGCCAGTCCGTGCAAGCTCGGACTAGTTGCGGGTGCTGTACATGTTCATAACATTGCTTAAGATCTCCTAGTACTGTTAGAGCCTCTTGACGATCTGCTTCAGCTAGATCTCCGCGTATCTGTTGCCTCCAAACGGTGTCAACTGCACTGCGACCTGGGGCCGTGGAAAACACACCTTGATCGGGCACTTTCTTCTCCCACTCTTTGCAGTGCCTCGAATGCCAACGCGATGTCATTCTGATTCGGCTCTGAGAGAATCCGATCGGACGCCTGCCTGAAACGGGCTTCTGGAAGAGAGCCACGACAAGCTTGTGCATCCAGCTCGGCGTGGAGCCGAGCACGGTCATGAGGCCCATGACCAGACTGAAAGCAGCAAGGGCAGGTCGGCTTAAAAGATGATAATGGCGAGGCTGAAAACCGTCTGCTGCAACCGTCGATCGTTTGAAACTCTTGCTCAAAACCATGATTTCTTCTGCATCTGGCGGTTCCGGAATGATCATGTCCTGGGGCCACTCTATCTCCTCGTTTTTCTCCTTCTGGTCCTCTCCCCAAGCCTTCCCCCATTGCTGGACCTCGTCCGAAAGCTGGCTGGCGAGACAAGATGCGCGCATGCCATCGTCTGTCGGGGGCATGGCCTGGCGCTTCTTGGCAGCCACCTTGGTGTAGGCATGGGCCCACTTCGCTCCGCCAGACAAAGCCTCCGAGCACCAATCTCTCCATTTCTGCGCTTTCTCACGTTTTTTTCACGGGGGGGGGGGGGGGAGATGGAGGACATATAGGATGCAGGGTGATGTAGGGCAAGGAGTGACCCAGCTCGAATCTCCAGATGCTCAACTTCACCTGGGGCCCGCAATGGATCGACCGCTTCACGGAGCAGGCTAGTCCACAGATCTAGGCCACCAGGGAAATGATACTTGAAAATACCTCCTGTCCTCGTCGCTGACCAGGTCGAGCGAACCAAGCTTCTGAAATAATCTGATAGTCCCAGATAATTACCACTCCTGAGCAGACTGTACAACCCGCGGGTCCTCTGAGACAACCAATGCGTCGCACGATAAGGGCTCCTGGTAGGGGGCCTCTTGGTGCAAAGTAACTCGCCTAGAGGGATCTCCTGAGTGCAGTACGGGCTACCTCCACGGGCTCCTCGCGGGTGACATTGCAGAGACCCCTGTAGCTCCCCCCAAGCCCTTTCACACCAAGATTGATAGTTAGCGTCTAGACCTTCTTGGAGCCCACCGACTTCGTCTGGGCGCGGAAGTCGATAACCTTCAGGAACTTGAAGGGGCTGCAGGAGGCCTTCTAGATCATCCGCCAGGTCCTGGTAATCTGGGGGCTCTGGGGCGGGTCCCACTGGTAGGTCCACTGGGAGCCTTGTGTACGTCATTAAACTGTGCACAGTGAGCTTATCAAGATCCGTCTTAAAGGTCAGGAGCACCGGCCTGTGGGGGTACAG